TGTGTGTGTGTGTGTGTGTTTGTTTCTGTATCTGTAGATCATGCGTCTGTGATTGGGGAGGGGGAAAAGGACGTGGGTGAGGGAGGGGGGTGGTGGAGCTGGTATACCCAAACGCCTACGTATAATATGCCTCTATTAATCTGTGTTTGTGCCTGTGGATACATATTGAGCTGTTTCATAAGAAAAAGTATGCAATCATGTCTCTCCATATCCCCCCTCCAATCTCTCTCTCTCTCTCTCTCTCTCTCTCTCTCTCTCTCTCTCTCTCTCTCTCTCTCTCTGCGCCCCCCTCTCAATTTTACCACTCTCTGCAAATGCTCTATTTCTAAGCTGTCCACCCAACACTTATGAATCAACATTCATAGTCATAGTCTTTGCTTTCCCACCATGCCATATCAGCAATTATTTGTACCTGTAGATCTAAGACTTTTCTTCCCCATATGTTTGTTGTTAAGGAGCTGAACTATTTACCCCGCAGTAAAACGTTTGCCCGCTGAAATCATAGCATGAGGGCAAAGTGGCAGAGATAGGAAGTGAGAAAGAACAAAACGAACAGCTAGAAAGAAATAAAACGCAACAAAACTAAATATGCTCGCCCTTAACAAGCAAAACCTCTCGCTTGCCCTCCTATCCGTCTGCTGTCGAGCCTTCATAACAATTCAGGCGAACGCAGCGACGTGTGTGCGAAAAGAAAGTTTATTTCCCGCATAAGGAACAGGTTGTGAGCCTGTAGCTAGCTACTGTTGAGCGGATTTGCCTGCCATCGTCTGTGCTTGTAGTGTAGTGGGAACAGATTTTATTAGATCTATCATTATTATTCCGACAGTGGTACAGCTACGCGAAGCGCTCGGATAGGATACTCTGCTTGTCAGTTGGTTGTGCAACGTAATGTGCTTACCCTGAACAAGGTTGTGGTGGTAACGTATTTATGTTTCTTTTAGCTCACCCGTTTCTTGTTCTTACCTGTGGTGGTTTCATCCACGTGCGAAGTCGCATCTCTTAATCGCCAGGGCTACGTAAGTTCTGTTGGACGTGAGGTTAAGAGCTTCGGTGGTGTGTTCGCCAAAAGTGAGTGAGCTGGCTGTCTGGCTCTCGTGTGTGCGATAGTGTGCACGTGCTGGTGTGTGAGTGAGTGGGGCTTATGTGGAGTGTGGCTTCGGGCCGCTCATTTAGGCACTCGCTGGTGTTTGTGTGCGTGTGTGTGTGTG